AGTGTCTCTCCCACCAGGCTCCAGGGAAAGATCCATGAAACAAACCTCACCTACTAACCAGAGTGTCTCTCCCACCAGGCTCCAGGGAAAGATCCATGAAACAAACCTCACCTACGAAGACTTTCCAACCTCCAAGTACATGGGCCCCCTGCAGTACACGATCTGGAAATCGCTCTTCCAGGACATCCATCCCGGTAAGGGGCCACAGCGCCTGCGCCCTGGAGTGTGCTGTGGGCCTTGGGCGTGCTCCCGGGTCTGCTGGCTGGGGGGCCCACCAGGCTCCAGGGAAAGATCCATGAAACAAACCTCACCTACGAAGACTTTCCAACCTCCAAGTACATGGGCCCCCTGCAGTACACGATCTGGAAATCGCTCTTCCAGGACATCCATCCCGGTAAGGGGCCACAGCGCCTGCGCCCTGGAGTGTGCTGTGGGCCTTGGGCGTGCTCCCGGGTCTGCTGGCTGGGGGGCAGTGCGCTCAGCCCCCTGCAAACCCTGCTTTCACTGAGTAGATGCAGCCTGCCGGGGGCCCCGCGCCACGTGCCGGGAGGGACTGAACTGCAGACGTCCTGGCCACCCCCTCAGGGCGCGGCGCATGGGGGAGGGGGTGCCGCTCTGCAGCAAAGCCGAGAGAAGGGAAGGGACTGGAGCCCGGCCTGGCGCCCCTCGCCGCGTGCCTGGTGCCCGCCTCTCACTGGCCGGAGGGACGTTACCGAGTTACCGTCGCGTGGCAGCCTCCGCTCGCAAGCTCAGCCTGGGACCCTGAGGCTCTGTGGGAGGGGCTGTGGCCTTTCCCCGCCGGGGCTGGGGGAAGGGGCCGGGCAGTCGTGGGAAGGGAGAATCGCTTTTCCAAAGCTTGCAAGGGGGCCAGAGTCTCTGGGGGTCCTGAGGCCCGAGGGAGCTCCCTCCACCTGCATCTACGGCCCAGCTCTGGCCGGGACCCTGCCCCATGGTACGGTGCAGCGTGGACGTCTCCTGGACGTCTCCTAGATGGAGCTGGCTGGAGCTCTGGTGCTTCCCACCAGCCACCCCGGCTTCTCCTTCCGAGCTGTTCTCCAGTGCCCTACTCCCCTGGGCAGCAAAATTCCTCCCCCTTGGGCCTCCTGGACCTACCCTGCCCCAGGATCCCACTACGGCACCGCGCCATAATCCGGATGCCCAGCACCTCCCACCCAGGGACCCCTCCGCAGAGTGGGGCCAGGAGCAGAGCCCTGGGCAGGGAGCCAGGCAGAATCCCCAACCCTGACCCCGAGGAGCCGGGCAGCAGCCTGGACCAGGGCTGTAACAAGGGGGGGACAAGTGGGGTGCTCGCCCCGGGCACATCAGTGTCAGGGGCGCAAAGACACAACGCGTAAGAATAACCAGCTGCAGAAGGAAAGCGTGTGCCGGGGCAGAGGGGGCGCCTCATTAATATTTTGCCCGGGCACAAAAATATCTAGTTACGGCACTGGCCTCCTCCCCGGATCCCCCACCATGAGGGGGTGGCTGGGCAGCCTGGATCCCAGGCAGCCAGAGACCCACACGCGGCCTCGTGGCCCTTGGCTCGAAGCTGGGCTGCAGGCCGAGAAGCCAGGGCACAAGGCAGCTGCCCGCGCTGGGGTGTCACCTTGAGGCCTCGTTGGCACTGGGGCAGTTTGCAGCTTGGGCGGATGTACCCGTATTCGCTCCAAGAGCTAGTATGCTGCAGCCAGCTGGGGAGAGGCAGCCGCACCCAGGAGCTCCGAGGGGTGTGCAGGGGGCAGCTGGCGCCACCGGGGTGTCTGTGGCGTGTCCACCCCAGGGAGTTACTTCAAGGCCATTGTCCACACTACCACACCCATGATTTTGAGAGAACTCCTGCTTGTGAAGAGGAATAGGCTTATTTTGGGAGTTATTTCGAAGTAACCTGGCAGTGTAGACCAGGGGGGTGGCCAACCCGTTACAGACAAAGAGCCAAAATAGTGGTGGATGCAGTGTGAAGAGCCGAGGGAAAGAAAAGTTGAACAAAACAAAAAAAAGCTGCCCCTTTAAGAGCTGCGTGTGACCCATGCAGGCTTCCGTCGGCCACAGCATCAGATCTCGCTGCCCCAAGCGGCCCCCTGCCCAGACAAAGAAAAAGGGTTAGAGCAAGGGAACGCAGAACAGCCCTGGGTTCAGGAGCCACAGTTTTTCCTTTGAAGAGCTGCATGTTGGCCACCCCGGTGTAGACGTAACCTGCAGTCAGAACTAGCCTGGGTACATCTCCGGCTGCCAGCCCAGCGGAGCCACACCTCCCCAGCACGTTGATCTGCATGTCTGGCTCCCTCTGCCGCCTCCCTTGGTGGGAGCTCGGAGAAGTAGCCGGCTGGGGCTTGCTGTTGCAGGCATGGAGGTGTCCCTCAGAAAGGCCCAAAGCATCTGCCCCCATCTCCGAGACTGGTGCATTTGTGTGAGAGGTTTGCTCTCTAGCCAGAGCGCCCCCTTGCCCGCTATCTCCTCTTAGGAAGCTTCCATGCTGACGGGGTTGTTGAGGGGTGTCACAGGCACGATTGGAAATGTAGCCAAGTCACTGGGTAGATGCTGCCTCTCCTGTGCTACGGGACCCCAAGAAGGCCCCCCTGCCTGTGGAGCCAGTCCCTGCATGGAGCTCCGGTGGGGAGTTGCAGGGCACCGGCTGCCCAGCTGCCTGACCCATCACACGGGCGTCAGCCCGCTGCCCTCTGCTGTCCAGCGAATCGTTGCTCAGTGCTGTGCGGGTGCAGGGCGAGGCCCCTGATTTGGAGCATTTTCATTCCAAGCGTTTTGCCTGCAACTGACAAGCCACTGGGGCGTGGCTAGGCTCTGAGCCCCTTCCTGTCCCCCCTTTGCTTCCCCAGTGCCGGCCGCCCTCACGCTGGACCCCGTCACCGCTCACCAGCGCCTCATCCTCTCAGATGACTGCACCATCGTGGCCTACGGCAACTTGCACCCGCAGCCGCTGCAGGACTCGCCCAAGCGCTTTGACGTGGAGGTGTCGGTGCTGGGCGCGGAGGCCTTCGGCAGCGGCGTGCACTACTGGGAGGTGGTGGTCTCCGAAAAGACCCAGTGGATGATCGGGCTGGCGCACGAAGCTGTCACCCGCAAGGGGAGCATTCAGATCCAGCCCAGCCGGGGCTTCTACTGCATCGTCATGCACGACGGCAACCAGTACAGCGCCTGCACCGAGCCGTGGACCCGGCTGAACGTCAAGAGCAAGCTGGAGAAAGTCGGCGTCTTCTTGGACTACGACAAAGGGCTCCTGATCTTCTACAACGCCGACGACATGGCGTGGCTCTACACCTTCCGGGAGAAGTTCCCCGGCAAGCTCTGCTCCTACTTCAGCCCCGGCCAGAGCCACGCCAATGGCAAGAACGTGCAGCCGCTGCGCATAAACACTGTCCGGATCTAGGAGGGAGACGGGGGCTGGGCAGCCCTGCCAAGCTGGCAGCCTGAGTCCAGGCACCCGGCTAAGTCTTCCTGCGGAGACTGGAAGCCTCCAGGGCCGTGCCCACCTGCTGTTCTGTTCCTAGCTCGGACCTCCAGCTGTTACCCATCTGGAAGGGGCAGGACTAGGGCAAGGGGGTTGTGGGCCATACGCTGCCTGCCGTAAGGACTCGAGTCGGAGGATTAGATGTGGCTGGACCCGGCCCTGCTGCCCTCACACCCCGAGCTGCATTCCAGGCAGTGGTGTTCATTTCATGCCCCTCCTGGGTCCACATCGCCTCCCGGGACTAACTACCCTGCAGCCTGGCCTGGCTGCTCCCTGGGGGACAGGCGAGGGAAGCGTGATGCTCCCCCATTTGACGTTTCCAGTGGAAGTCTCTAACAAGCTACGGGAGAGCGGAGACCCCACCCGCAGGGCGCCAGCTGGCCTCCCTGTGCTGAGAGCTGGCCAGGGACTCCCCTCCTCCGGGAGTGACTCCCCTCCTCCGTACATTGCATGCAGCCTGGTGCGCGGGGCACGGCGTGTTGGTCCCGTCTTGGCCAGCTCTTGCTGGGAACGCGGCCCAGCTTGCAGACCAGGCTAAGAAACTATTGGGAGGGAGCCCCCCAAGTGCAGCCCTATCCCTGCACACTCCTCCTGCGGGTAGAGCCCTGATGGGTGCAGCCTCTCGAGGGTACCCAGGCAAGCAGGCTCGGCCCCTCGGCGAGGTGGCTGCTCTGTTGACTGTGGATGGGAGCTGCAGGGAGGAATGTGAGGTGCTGGGGGCACAGTGTCCTGTAGCCTGGCAGGAGGGCATCTCGGGGGGCCAGGTATCCACAGGCCACCGTCCTGCCAGCCACGGTCAGTGAGTGGTAGGTGTCGGCCTTTCCTGGCCCCCCGCCCCTGGTCAGGCGCCCCCAGTGCTGGCGGGTTGCATTTCCTGGAGCTGCGCCGGTACTGTGGGCTCCCTCTCCCCGAAGCTCATGGATTCTGTATTGACGCTGGGCCCTAGCTCTGCAGCACTTGGTCTCAGCTGCAATAAAGGCAAACAAAGGCCTGGAAACCTCTCTCGGCAGTGCAACTGCCCTAGCGGCTCCTGCCCACGTCCTGGGGCAGCTCGCCCAGCGGGCGGAAATGCAGCCAGAGCTGCCGGGAGCTGCCACTTGCCCACCGTCCACGTGGGACTCTCCCCTTGGTTCACAACACCCTTCCCCTCCTGCCATCATACACGAGCCGGATTCAGGGCTCTCCCCTTGGATCATAACACTCCTATCCCTCCCCTTCATCATACAGGGGCCTGGTGCAGTTCTGGTGACGGGTGTGATGGATAAGGGGGGCAAGTTGGGCCCTGACTCAGTGGGTCATACACAGGGAGGTTCACCCCATGTAGGCATGGGACCCGAGTCTCCCCTGCATCACAGAAAGTTCCTGTTGGCCTCAACGAGCCAGCCAGGTGCCCAAGCTGCCTTGGCAAATGGAGGCAGCTCCATCTAGTGCCTTGCGGATCCCCGCCCGCCTCCCAAGGATGGAGTCTCCTCCCTCTTATGCAGCACTGGCCTGGCTCCAGGATTACAGACCATGCAGCACTAGCTACGCACTCCCCTTCCCCCTCTTACCACTCGCCTTGCTGCTGGGGGCCTGCGGCGAGCCCTCGCCAGGCCATGCACAAGTCTCCTCTAGCGGGAGCCACCGCAGGGCCAGCGGCTTTAAGATTCGTTTGCTGGCGCTGCCATGCCATGCAGAAGCCCAGTTGCATTGCAAAGCTGCTCTCAAGCCAGCTAGTGGGGGGTGGGAGCCCGCTTGTGCGCCTGCAAACAAGGAAGAAAACGGATCCTGGGAGAACAAACAATTTGCGCCACTAGACCAGCTGGAGCCACTAATACAAGCTGGTGCAAATCCAGAGGGACTCCACTCGGAACCGTTTCGCTCAAGTTTTTATTTGGGGGTTAAAATAACGTACATGACGTGCTTTACAACAGCCATCGTTTTTGAAAAAACTACCCCCCCCCTTTTTTAACTGAAAAAGCGGGTGGGGTGGGAAATGGGGTGTTTTGTGAAGTTTGACGACGACAAAACGTTAAACAGAAACCTCCTGCCGCAGCTATTTGAGGATAGTTGACTCGCTCCACTGCTGCGGTGAGGGCAGAATCAGGGCTGACGCCCGCACTGAGATCACGGCAACGCTAGAAACTGCTGCCAGTAGCGGTGGGCAGGGAACCCATTTCCTCTCAAGCACAAGCTTTGAGTGTGTCCCTAACAAGTCCCGTTCCGCGGGGGGCTGGCGCAGAGCCCTTCCAACGTGGTTCTCGAGCCCGGACGAGTCCAAGCGGTGGGGGGGTCGCAGTGGGAAGGGCGCCGTTCCACACACTCAGGTCCTGGGCGTGTTTCCTGCCCAGCTCTCCGGAGGGGCCTGAGTGTTAATGACCGTTCTATGCTGGCCAGCGGCTTTGTCTAGACACGGGCACACTGGGCAAGGGTGTTTGCTGGGGCCCATGCTCCGGCTTACCAGCGCAGCCCCTTGTGTCTCCATGGGGGCACTTTGCAGGCTGTAGGCACAAGCCAGGCTCCTCTGAAATGAACCCTCAGGGAGACCAGGGGCAGGAGGGTCAGCTGGGCCCCCCCCTGCCAGTGCTGGGTAGAGCAGAGGCATCAGTCCCTGAGCGCCCAGAGCCTCTAGCAGCACTAATGTACCCCTGGGGTCCTGATTCTGGCCCCACGGGGCGTCACTGAGCTGTGCTTGCAGTGATGTCAGTGACTTGCACCAGTGGCTGAGTGCCCCTCCCCCCTATTCATCCCCTGGCAGGTCCCTGGGCTCAGCCCTTCTGTGCCTGTCAGGCTCCAGGCAGTGTGGGGAGTGCTGGGCTGGGCTGACGGGTGCCCGGTGCCAGCTCCACCCACGGGAGGTGCTCAGAGAAGGGGTGCACCCACAGCCCTCCTGCGTGGGAGGAGGGACCCCCCCCATGGCAGATGCCAGGGGCAAGGCACCAGGAGTGGCAGTGATGGAGGAGGCAACCTGTGGAGAAGAGACCAGGTTTCCTGGAGAAGGGACAGGGTGAGGCAGGAGCATGGCCTGGCTCGGCCCCAGCCGCCGCACTGTGCCCAAGGAAGTTCCCCACCTGAGCCAGACTTCCCCTGGCCCCAAGTTCCCTGGCCCCACCTGAGCCAGACTTCCCCACCCCCCACCCTTGGGACCCAGCCCCCGGGGCACAGCTCACACCTGCAGCAGGACACAGGCCCTCCTGCGGGCTCCCACCCCGCTCAGGCCTGCCCCAGCTCGGGGCGATGAGAAGGCTGCAGAGAGGAGTTTGACAGCGCTTGGCTGAAGCGGGGGTGCAGCAAATCCTGCCCTTCTGTAGGAGCAGCTCGCCGCAGAGGCCTCTGTGGGTTACCTGCTCCCAGCTCTGAGCACTGGACGTGGACTCATGGGTCCCAGGCTAGTTCCTGGTGGGCAGCACCGGCATCCGCCCTGCAGGGAGCCTGAAGTCCTGCTCCCCCAGGAAAGGGACCGCTTCCTGCAGCTCAGCTCTGCGGTCCAGTGGCAGGGGGGAGCTTGCTCTGCCCAGGGGCCAAGCGCCAGGCAGTCAGATGGGCCCTGTCCCAAAGCCACGTGCTGGTAAGAGTGGTGCACGCATGTGGCCCTTGGCACCAGTGGCATAGCCAGGCTGGGACAAGCGGACTGGCTGCAGCTTCCGGTGGGCAGGGAATGACGGGCCACCTCTCCCCCACCCTCCAGCTGGCCTGAGGGAAGGAGGGAGGCGTCTCAGGGCTTGCCCCCCGTGGGGTCAGGACACCAGGACTTGCCCTGGCCCCTGAGCTCCAGCCATGGAGCAGGATCAGGGACTTGCCCCGCTCTGCTCCCTGTGCTCCTGCGGGGGCCTGGGGCACAGGGGCTTCCAAGCCCCCAACTCCACTGCAGAGCCCAGGCTGGGTCCTAAGTGGAGGGGCCCCAGGCCAGGCCCACCCGTGGCTCAACACAGAGACCCTTTTCCTCCCATGGCCCAGCCAGATCCTGCTCTGTCCCAGGCCACACAGCCCTTCCCCGGGGGCCTGCAGCTGCCCGCCTCTGGTCGAGCCCCTGTCCCGCTGAGGTGCTGAGAGCAGACCCCGCCTGAGGCGTTGGAGCGGCAGAAAGCCACAAGGGACCCCGGTCCGGCTGTCCGAGGAGCTGCGGCCACGGGGGGGAGGCTCACGTTCGCTGCGGCCGGCCTGCTGAGGGAGCGTGGGCCGCTCGCTCGCTTCCTGCTGGGAGGCCCACGTGTGGCGCACAAGTTCACGGGCTCCCCTGTGCTTGGCGTGCCTGGCTCGGGTCCCTGGTGACTCCTGCCCGCCCTGCAGGAGCCGGCCCACCCGTGGAGCTGGCTGGTGGCCGTTCTGCCTCCTGCATCGCCAGCGCGGCCCGGTCCGCTGCCGACCCGTGTCCTGTCCCCGGGGAGGGGGAGGAAGCAGCTGGGATGGCAGAGCCCAGAGCGGTCGGCTGGCTGGGAGCGAGAGCAGTGCCACACGAGGGGAGGAGCAGGGCTTTCTAGGCACCTTTTGAGGGTACGGCCGCGTTCCAGCTCCCTGCCCCTCGGTGCTCCCATGGCAGCCCGGGCAGGGTGGACACGCAGCCTGTGTTGGCCAGGACTGTCCCTTCCTGGGGCAAGAGCAGACAGGACGGGGGGCAGGCGGAGGTGGGGAGGGGCAGGGCTCCAGCATGGGGAGGGGAGGGAAAGTTCCAGTGTGCGGGGGGGGGCAGGCAGGGTCCGAGCGACCAGTGACAGCCTTGGGCTGAGCGTTTGGGGCCAGCCCTGCCCTGCCTTCCCTGTCCCCTCGGCCTGGGGCTGCTTTCCCAGGGCATCGCAGGCTGTTGCAGACCAGGGTCTGGAGTGGAGCAGCCAAGCTCTCTAGTCTAGTGTCAGTCCGGTCCAGAGGGGGTGACACGCTGCCCCTCTCAGGCCAGCAAGGCAGGCGCGAGCTGCGTGTTCCCATGCACAGAGGGGACTGAGGAATTGCTGCTCTACACGGGCTGATGCAGCTGCTAATGGGGTAACTGGTCAAGGACCCAGGTCTGGGAGCCAGGCTGGCTACGAACTGACGAGGTCTGAGGCCCCTTTGTCTGCCTTGGACTAAGCGACACGAGGCCCCAGGGCCAGGAAGACCTGCCGAGTGCCAGGTGAGCCAGTGAGGTGCCATTTTGTGCTCAGGGTTTCTGCCCGGCCCCCTGAGCACCGAGCCAGGGGAAACCTGCTCCGGAAGGGGAAAGATTCTGGCAGAAAACCAGTTTTTGAAAGGCTCTGGCTTGTATCAGGCTCCCATGGAGACACGGGGACCCTCTGGTGGCGCATTTCCCAGGGCCGTCAACCCAAAGCACCGACTCTCTCTCCAGGCCCTGGGAGGTAAAAGTCAGTGGGGACACGGCTCCTGCAGCTCAGAAATGATTGATACAAAGCAGAGTGTTTTCACCTAAAACCACACACACACACACCACACAGCCATGCACACACAGAGACACCACACACCGCCTGCACACACACCACGCACACTGTGCGCACACACACACACACCACATAGACATGCACACACAGAGACACCACACACCGCCTGCACACACACCACGCACACTGTGCGCACACACACACACACCACATAGACATGCACACACAGAGACACCACACACCGCCTGCACACACACCACGCACACTGTGCGCACACACACACACACCACATAGACATGCACACACAGAGACACCACACACCGCCTGCACACACACCACGCACACTGTGCGCACACACACACACACCACATAGACATGCACACACAGAGACACCACACACCCCCTGCACACACACCACGCACACTGTGCGCACACACACACACACACCACACAGACATGCACACACAGAGACACCACACACCCCCTGCACACACACCACGCACACCGTGCGCACGCACGCACAGACACCACATAGACACGTGCACACACACACCACACGCATGCACACATAGACACCACACAGACACCATGCACACACACCAATACCACACGCTATGCACACGCATACACACACAGACACCACATAGACACATGCACACACACACCACACGCATGCACACATAGACACCACACAGACACCATGCACACACACCAATACCACAAGCTATGCACATGCATACACACACAGACCCCCTCCACACGCTATACACACATAGACCCCCCCACAAGCTATGCACACACATACACACACAGACCCCCCCACACACATGCATGCACACACACACATGCATGCACACACATACCACACACACCACACACAGTTCAGAGCATCTTAAACCTTTATGTTTACCAAAGTTAAGATGGTTTCTGGAAATCAGCAGCCAGGGGCAATAGGGGAGAGATCCTTGTCCAACGGCCAGCTCCCGCAAACTGCTCCAGAGCTCGCTTTCTAACTAGGCCTTTTATACATTTTCTCTGAAAAAAATACCTAACTCATAATACCCCGCAGCTCTCCCCCTATCTATCGCAGCCCCCAATAGGCGTATAGCAATGGCCCACAATAATTCATTATTCTCCTTCTCGACAGCACTTCTAATAAGAACAACAAGACGTGTGTCAGAAGCACTAAACTCCAGGTGGTCGGGGCGAGTAAACCTACTGTCCTCACCAGCCGGCATCCCTGTCCCAGGCTGATGGGCAGAGCTGCCTGGCCCTGCCTCTCAGAGCCCGGTAGCTTTCCAGCTATGCCATGCTTGGGTTCCAGCCGGCGAGGGCTGAACACACTGTGGCGGATTTCCAGCCAACCTGGAACTGGGGTTCCATGGAGCCCTCTGTTCCACCAGCCTGGGCTCCCTCTCGCACTGCGCCAGACAAGCTGCAAACCTCTCCTGGTCCTGCACTTGCACAGACACCCGCGGACACACTCAGCTGAGTGCGTCTCATAGACCAACAGGCAGGCCCCAGCCAAGCCCCCAGAGCTGTAGTGGTCAGAAGGCTGAGCGGTGTGAATGTATCGCCCACTCTGCCCCTCCCAGCATGTGCAGAAGACAGTTTGTTCCTGAGCAAATTCCTCAGTCACGTCAAACCAAACAAACTGTTCAAAGTAAAATATAAAGCAGAACTGATTCATTGTAGAAATGTCGATGTTAAGTAATGAGGCGGACCCGGACTACCTGGCTGTCGCACTCTAATGGACGGCAGGTATACAGGCTGCTGCATAAACAGTTCACTATTCCCTGAATACAGTCCCAGGCTGTGTCTAGACTGGCATGATTTTGCAGAAATACTTTTAACGGAAAAGTTTTTCCCTTAAAAGTATTTCCACAAAAGCGCGTCTAGATTGGCACGGATGCTTTTGCACAAAAGCATCCGTGGCCAGTCTAGACGCGATTTTGCGCAAGAAAGCCCTGATCGCCATTTTAGCCATCGGGGCTTTTTTGTGCAAAACAGTTCTTCCCTGTCTGCACTGGCCCTCTTGCACAAGTATTCTTGCACAAGAGGGCCTTTTCCCGAGCGGGAGCGTGAAAGTATTTGCGCAAGAAGCACTGATTTTGTACATTACGAAGTCAGTGCTCTTGCGCAAATTCAAGTGGCCAGTGTAGACAGCTGGTAAGTTTT